GTTTTTCTCAGACGATTGAGTATTTCTCATTCAATTAATTCAGTTTTCACTTCGCTACAAGGCAAAAATACATAAAAACTCAAAATATCTGTATTAAAAATTACGAAGTAAATCTTAAACGCTTATTTCCTCGAAAAAATTCCAGAAAGGGTTAAGCATGGTTTAAATAATAAATGAAGGCGTTATCTTTGTCGTTGCGAAGCTAAGTTTCTCTAGATTGGCAACAAATCCGCTACTCAGCTGTTTCAAATGTAAACAAGCAATGGCCGCCTTAAAAAAAAAAAGGCTTAGCGGCACTTAAACAACTTTAAAATTGTTGATAATTCTAAAAATATTGCATACAGATTTACTAAAGGCATAAAACCCTTAACCGGAAGATAAGAACAACATAATTTAATCATTTTCAAAGCAAAAAATGTACAATTTACAAACATATAACAGTAAAGAAACTGAGATCACTGAGCCGGGTAACAGAGTGGATATATTTATAAATATATTTATATACGTTTGGCGCGGCCAATTGCAACCAAAATACGTGGTGCACATCTACATGTTATAGCAGTCCTATATATAAAATTTCAACGTTCTGAGGCTACTCGTTTTTGAGTTATGCGAGATACGTACGTACATACGTTCGTACAGACGCCACGAAAAATTCTCTTCAGAATTAATTTCAAAGTAGTTTTATAATTTTTTTGGAGGAAACGAGTCTTTTATTCTGTCCTTACGTACAGATATCACGCAAAAGCATCGTTAAATTGCATTCAATAGCGGTCAAAGTGGGTATTTTCGTTGAAATATGCTGCCTGAAGCTTTTCGCGATTACAATACTTCCTTTTTACTTCATACAAGGAAGTAAAAAGTACCTGCAAGTTAATTGAATTAAACGGTTTAAATCTATTTTTAAGCTATGCAATTGTTTAGGCTAAAAAAATCATGCTGCTTAATATTTACGCAAAAATTCTTTGATTTTTATACCCTTCATTAAGTTTTGGTTGTAGTATCTGTTAAGTATATCTACAACGAGCTTTTACATATTTGAAGATTATCATAACTGATCTTCAAAATACTGAAAAAAGTAAGTAAATCCTTTTTCTTATGACTAAAAAAATATTTTTAACAAACGGCTATAATTTCCACCGTCGTCGATTATCAGCTTTTATTTATGTAAAGATAATATATTCAAGCATGTCAGAGTCATAAAATAATAATTGCTCCGGTTTGAATAGCTATTTTTTTCTACCACTAAATGGCATCACGAAAAGTAGTTAATTGATGTGCATTAATTTAGAAAACGAAAAGTGGCAGCATGTGGAATAGAACATTCATACGATTTATTTAGATGTAGAATGAATGCTGCTGATGAGATTTTAGATTTCCTGGTTTAAATTATTGTGTTTCTGATATTCAAGTAAATTCTTTTTAAAAAAGCTTGAATAATTTTTTGAAAATAATATTTCCACTGAATTACTACATGTAGGATCCGATTTATCAATATTTTACCGGCTATGTTTTTGTTCAATATTAATAACAAAAGAGATCAGCATTATTTTCAAGCTGATCACTTGTCTTAATCACTTGATGTCTATTTCTTTAAAATTTATTCTAAAGCAGTTTATTTAAAAGTCGTATTTAATATATGAAAAAGTACACTATCAGCTGTAAGAAACTTCTGCTAAGGATCTTTTCTGCTGCAAAATATATGATGTAAAAAATCACTTGTAAAATGCGAAAGCCCATTTTTCTTACATCCGTAACTGAGAAAAATAAAGGCTGTTAAGATCTATCAAATCCTGCCTATTTTTGTACGATTTCCTCCGTCATAAATTACCCAAATATTTTTTCAACCATCAACTTCTTTCAAGTGAGAATTCGCTGTCTTATATTTCACGTCATTCCTTGTAACGTGAAATATAACATAATATTCCATACACGTAGTTGCTTCATGTAGTTTGAAATGGGAGATTATGACTAGAGACCTGTTCGTCGGAGACAACTAGCGGGCGTGTTTTATCTCCTATTAGAGACCCTATTAACCTTTGTTAGTCGAATATTTCTTCCCTCACCCTAGCAGTCACCTTTTGCACTTACTAGAGATTAGCAGGCCTATATAACTTTAAAGATTAGTGGCTTTTCTTTTCTTGATTTTACATCAAAGACTGTAATTTGTAACACGCAGTTCAGCTGAAAATTGAAATTCGCTTGTTGCTTTCCCTTCACCTGTATTAGGGTCTATCTTTCATATGTGGAATTTTTTTAATAGGCTAAAAAATTTAATAGTCAAATTCAAATAATTATAAGCCCAAATCTAAAGTTACTGCTACGATACATCATTTGGTTGTTCGTTTCCCTAGTTCAATGGTTTTGGAGAACTACAGATGTTTACCTATTAGATGAAGGACTGCTATCCTCCGTATGTATTCCAGTCCCTACCAATATTGTGAAATTTACTATGATATCACCAATGTAATGATGGCTTTTAATATTGTTACGAATTTTGAGCAGAAGTAATGAAATTATATGTAAACTGTAGTATTTCTAGCATAATGCAACATGAAAGGCCTCAAGAAACCGAAGCTTCACCGGAAAAGTAAGGTTACAGGGGCTAGTCCATTTAACCTTTTCGTCGTCCGTAACGCGTCTAGCGCATTCAAGTGAAGCTTCCGTAGGGCGGCCGTGACGCGCCTCAAGCGTTTTTCTACATTTTGAACGTTTAAAACGCTTTCTAAATGTTTACTTGTTTGAGTTTTTATTTTTGTTTGTTCTAATACCTCCTAGAGGGCAGCACTGATCAAGCATTCTATTTCTAATTATTGAATTTGTCCCGTGTTTTATGAATATTCGCGCCATTTTACATAAGATACAGGACAGTGAGAGATGGCTTCAACGTCTACTCAGCAGAAAAAAGGAAAAAATGGGGTTGTGAATTGGAAGGACAAGAAAGATATACGTTTGATGAGTACAGTCCATAATAACTCGATGATTTGATGTTGGAACACGGAAAAGAACTGTAAAAAAAATCAATAATTGTAAAAGATTACAACAATAAAATGGGAGGAGCGGACCGCTTATATCAGATGTTATCAAATTATCCTGCTGTTAGAAATAAGCAGAGATATTATTATTTTCCCATTATGCTTTACTTCCTTATAATTTTACTTAATATTCATTGACATTCATCCACTACGAAAGTCATATATGGAAGTTATGATGTACAGAGAAAACAACATTACACTCTACGAAAAACAGACGGCCGCTGAGGGGGGGGGATTTTCGCGTACACGAGAGGACGGCGAAAAGGTTAATATAACTAGCTCTAAGCTAGCGATGATTTTGGCGATTAATTCTTGTCACCCATATTTGGCAAGAAATCGCCAAACTTGGCGAACATTTGACAACATTTTAGTCCGATTCCTGTGTAAATGTAACTGGTCCGATTCCTATGTAACTGTAACTGTGTATGCATTGCAGGAATTTCAAGAACGAAGGCACTGTGTAAATTTGCCAGTATACTGGGAAAATCTGTGCAAGACTGGCAAGCGTATCAGTTTTAATTTACACCATTCAAGACTTCTTACGAGGGACACATTTCATGTACTCTTTCTTCTCAGCCACCGTAAGGAACTCTATAATTACTTTGGAAGGTACCGCTTAGACTAGAGCCCTAGAATACATTGTGCAGTATCGCACAATCACATTTTAGTTTAGTTCAGAATTTAGCTCAGAGTACGGAGAGATCACTATATTAAGCTTACACTTTTGAGGCTCCTTGTATTGTCTTGTGTTTAACATTCTTGTGGTAATTATTGATTGTGCTCTGTCATACTGCATGAGTACTTTTGTGGAAAGTTCCAGAATTATAAAGTGTTTTTATTGAAAAAATAAATTTTATCAAGCTATCATTGGTTCCGTGTGCATTCAATCCATTACGAACCCGTACGTACGTAACAGTATTCAGCAAATGCGTAAAATATTCCGAAGTATGCATGTCAGTAAATCAGCGTTACACCGCGCTGTAAATAAAAGACATTCTGCTAGTGTCCAGTGGTTTCATACACATACGTGCTACTGGCACCCATTTTTATAGATAATATTACAGTAATAATGGTATTTTACTAACACTTTGCAATAAATTCAGTTCTTTTATGTAAAATAGTGGGTGTTTTTAACAAAGCTACCAGAGAATTTGTAGAAACATTAGGTTATTTCGAAGCAGAAGAGACGAAAAATGAGCAGTGCCCTCGCCGGGACCAAAATGTCGTCAAATTCTCGCAAGTTTGGCGATTTCTTGCCAAATATGGGTGACAAAATTAATCGCCAAAACCATCGCTAGCTATATTAAATGGACCTGCCCCTGTAACCTTACTTTTCCGGTGAAGCTTCTGTTTCTTGAGACCTTTCATGTTGCATTATGCTAGAAATACTACAGTTTACATATAATTTCACTAAAATTATTTACTTGTGTCCAAAATTCGTAACACTATTAAAAGCCATCATTACACCGGTGATATTATAGCAAATTTCACAATACTGCTACAACAGAATACTGCTAGAGACTGGACTACATAAGGAGGACACCAGTCCTTCACCTAATAGGTAAACATCTGTAGTTCTCCAAAACCATTGAACTAGGAAAACGAACTACCAAATGATGTATCGTAGCAGTAAATTTAGATTTGGGCTTATAATTATTTGAATGTGACTATTACATTTTTCTCGAATTCGCGTCGAGCGTGCTGACCACAAAGGTATGCTAAGAAGGCGGGAGAAATAAAGTCATAGTAAAACCATGAAACAATTTACTCATTAATGCTAATTCCAAATAATCATTTATGCCATATTTTAAAACAAATTTTCATTGCAAACACGGAACATAACACATATCATTTGTAAAAGAGCGAGAGCGAAAACATGCAAACACTTTAAAATTAATAAAATTTGGGTATTGTCAAATTAGTAAGCAGAAGCATGAAACGATAAAGCGTTTAACTGGAACTTACTGAACGGAAACTTGTAAATGAAGGTTAAGAAGCAGTTTGAAATGTTTAAAAAATTGTCTCAACTCTATCTAACCTAACCTACAAGCGTCACGGATTTCGCTCTTTATGCTACTAAAGTGTTTCAGAAGAGACATTGAAATTGAGCATGAAAACTTCTTCCTCGTCCTAGACATAGATTCAGTTTTTGTCCACTGCCAAAGCTCATCACCCCATTAGATCTTCATTTGATATAAAAAGACATTCCAGAGGGCGTATGTAAGCCGGGCAAAGCTCCAGGAAGCAGTTGGCGTTATTTATTTATTTTTTTTTTCTTTTTGTCCGTCTGTATTGTTTTACACGACCGAACTTTCTCTGTGTTCCTGTTCCCGCCGACTTCCCATAACTAGATCCAGGAAACTTTTTATAGAAACTTTTGGCTTTGTTTACGTACTACTTGGAGAAAGCCATTTTGCTGAGGATGTTGGCAAGACACTCTGTCATTGTATTCCTACATGCGTTTAATTGGACACGTGAGAGTATTAGTAAAGACAATGTTATTTCTACAAACAAAAACTGAAGGATCTTAACTACCTTACACAAATTGTCAAGTTTTAATAACTTAAGTTTAATTTAAAAATGGACGAGATCCAAACATATTGATTTTCAAGTGTTTTTTTTTTTTTTTTCTAAATTTTTAACATGATATTTTAACATGATATCAGCATGGCTAAATTATTACATTTTAACTTTTCTATGCTTCTTTATATCAAATTTTTTTATACAACCTATTAAATATATTTATTAAGAAACTTGGTACAGTCATAACATGACCATGATTAAATTATTATTTTAATTTTATGCATAAGATATTAAAATATTTCCTTTATTTGCTCACTTGTGTCATCATGACGAATTAATTTTCTCACTCATTGTCATCTGTTCAGCTTCCTAATTGATATTGGTTAATTCAAACTAGAGTTTATCGATAAATAAACAGTCAAAAAATAAGTAAAGAGGGCAGAAACCCATCAGTAGTTCAGTGGTTAAGACCGATGAATGTTGGATGTTTAATCTTGGTTTGTTCTCAAACCAGTGGCTGCATGAGTGGACATGTGTAACGTGTATATGAGGCAGTTTGCTTCAGAAGGTCCTCTACAAACGCATCCCGCCTCTTAGGCAGATAGCTTTGATGGCTTTTCCATATTCATAGAACCTAAGAGGTCAGGTACCTTTAAACTATTAAAATATGCAAAGACTTTTAACAAACTTTAAACCTCAGTATCTTTTTTAGTTAATTGGACTGTATCAGTAAGTTTTTATGCATATTTCGATAAACTTTATATTGTATTTGCTACCTTTAGCTTACGTTTCAGGTGTTAAAATATTTTAAATAAAATACAATTACCTTCTTCGTCATCGACTTAAATTTGCAATACACATTGCGAATAGCATTAGGAATAAATAAATCGCTATTTTTAGCCAGTTTTTTTTAAATTATAATAATTTAAAATACCCTACTTTAAATATAATCAAGCAATATTTCTTTAAAAATTAGAATATTTTAATTTTAGTAGGACAAGTCGACTATATTATCAGTATGAAATTAAAAGTAATTTCTAAGGTTTTTTAAAGCGAAAACATAGTAATAATATATCATTTCATTCCCATACAGGCTTTATAAATTTCATTTAAAATTCCTTGAAATTCTGACCAATAGTTTTGAGACAAATAAATGACGCAAACTGGAAAAGTATAGTTTTGATAAAACATAAAGATATAATACCCTTGAAATCCTGCAAATGCGTATTATTTTCGTAATATTAACGAAGGTAAAAATTATTTATTAAATAAAATTTATAAGTATTATATATTTAGGCATAACTGCATACATAATTCTGTGAGGAGAGAAAATTTTTGTACGATTAAATCATCATGTCAGAAACGCAAAAAGTGGCCATTTTATACAGATATAGTGTTAACACAAGTCATTAAAACTTATTGAATTTCCAATCAACCAGTTGGGAGAAATCATGCACTCAAACTGATAAATCCCACTTTTATGAAATCTTGCCTTAAAATAGAAATTACCTTCAAACCTTGTAAGCGCATTACATTGTCAGATAGAAATGCTAATATGTCAAAAATCATGCGTAGTTATATATTTTTATCAGATTGTATACAGAAGAATTTTATGCTGAAATCTTTAGAGCAAATCTTTACATGAGGTTTGTTATAAAACCTTATAAATAAATGTACTTTTCACACGAAAGCATAAAAAACTTTCAATTTTTAAAAATTATTTAATGGTACCTGAACCCTTAACATTAAAAGTATTTCATTTACTTATAAACGTAATAAAAATCATATACAGTCAAAAGTCTTAAATCCGGACTCGTCGGAACTTCGGCGATTCCGGATTATCGATTTTTCCGGATTATAGATCATCAGTTTAAATCTGGTAAGATGGCATGCAGAAATTATAAAATTAAAAATATGAAACCGTAATCTATGAAATAAAGAGCAATTGTGATCTAAAGGGTATCAAAATTTACCCAAAAAAAAAGCTTACTATTTGTTTACTTTATTAAACATTTCTTTCAATGTAAGTTGTTTTAAGTTGCTTCGTTTTATGTGCTAATACTTTCTCTTTAATTCTATAAACAGACACAATTTCTTGTTCAGTTACAAAGTTCCGCTGTTCAAGTCCCGTTAATTGTTGTGCCGAGAATACCGACTAATTTGTCAATCGAAATTTTTTCGTTTTCAATGACCTCTCTGTCACTTTCTTCACTATCGGAAGTGGTACATCGAAACATGCTTTCGCTTTGTAGATGCTTTGGCAGCTCCATAATCGGAAACTCATTTTGACTTAATCGAAAGTTCAAGCTTACTTTTATAAAATTGCTCTAACAGTTTGCAAAAAATAATAAGCGGGATCCAATTAGAAGATTAAGGAACAACGCAAACTGCAACATTAACTGAAATAGATAATTAGATAATTTTAGCCTAGCTTATACCGTCCGTTATACATTAAATGCGCACGTTTACGCATGCGCAGAAAGTTTGTAGCTCTAAGGTCCTGGTTATAGATCATTCCGGATTATGGACGTCCGGATTAAAGACTTTTGACTGTATCTTAGATTGTACATATGAAAGAGATTTGGCCCAGCCGCGGCAGAGCGGTAAGGTTTCTGAATATTGTTCAGAAACCTTATTAGTTCAGTTATTAGTTCAGTTCAAACTTAGTTCAGTTCGGGGTTCAAATCCCGACGAACGGGCTGGCTGCATGGGCCTTTTCGTGGTTTTCCCCATGTGTAACGTGAATACGAGCCAGTCTTCCTTAGAAAGTCCTCCACAAATGTATCCCTCCTCTTAAGCAAATAGCCCTCGAGTGCTCTGTCATAATTAAATAAACCAAACCAAACCTTAAAAGAGACTTCTTTTATTCAAATTCTAAGCACATTAACATCGGCAATGCTAATTACTTATTTTCGATATTTATTTCGCATGATAATACTCTAAACTGAAATCATGTCTCTTGGCTTCGTTATAACTTCAAAATATGTTGTAGAGATAATTTTTATTCCAAACAAAAGCCAACTATTATCATAAGAAACTACCTACTATATTTGCACTTCTTACCACTTACGTAACCATAATTTAAATCTGACCTTAATGACTCTATTCAAGCAGAAATATTTCAACTTACAATAATACAGTTGAGAAATAATTTTTATTCCAAACATGAACTAACCATCTATATCATTAAATCGCATTGTATCTATTTCATCCTTATTGGAAGGCCGTAACTTAAAATTAAAAATAACGACATCCATAAACCCGGATTACCTCAGCGCTAAATCTCAAACAAGAAGCATAAAGGTGTTGAATTAATAGTATCATATCATCATTTAAGAGCTCGTGTCAGAATTTATCACCATTAAGACTTAAAATATAAGTCTAAGAATGTAAAAAATTGATTTTGCGTTTGAAAAAATTAAGTGTTTCTTGGCTATATTACTTTGCTAGGCATTTGAAAATTCTGTGTTGTTTCGCAATGATTGGAAGTAATCCTTATCTCTGTCCAAAATTCTTTAAATGGTAACCTGAAGCAGTTGATTGAAGCTCCAAAACAATTCACTGGAATCTCACGCAATTAATCTTAAGTTTCACTGAAATCTCAAGCAATTTATCTCAAGATAAGCCAGTTAAGTGTTCATTTGTAATTGTCTGTCTATCGTATATTAGTGATCAAATGAGAGAATTCATATAATAATTGCCAGTTTTTGTCATTGTAGGAAATGTCGCCAGAATGTTTCGAAATCTAATTCATCAACCCTCGTGATACCCTTAAGAAATGGGTTATCACGAATTTTCATAAATTTAAGATTACTTCACGCTTTCTAGATGGAAAAACTATTAGTTTTATTTATGACCTAAATCTTACTTAAGTTATCCTCTATATAATTAGGGTAGCATGATCGGTTTTGATATTTAAACCTTATTAAGCCTCTAGAATAGCAACCTTAGGAAAACTGCTATTTTTCGTCATTAATCTGAAGAAGAGCTAGTTTTAAGGAGATAATAATAATAGCTTTTCCTAAAGAAATGCTATTAAATGTAAAGATTTTTTATCGTTTTAAGAAACTTTGAAAGCTTTTTTGGAAACTCTCTCTATATTGTTACGAATTTTGTATATAGGTGAACAATTTTAGTGAAATTATATGTGAAATTGTAGTAATTTTCTGTGTATTGTAAATGAAAAGCTTCGAAGAGACGATACTTGGCAGGAAAAAGAAGAATACAGGGGCAGATCTATTTAACAATTAAAAAATAGCTGTCTCGCTAAATTGGCGAGATATCGCAAAGATGGTGATGGATTCGGCGATTCATTTTCGTCGTCAAATTTTACTAGAAATCACCAAAAGTCACCAAACTTGGCGACATTTTGGTCTGGTTCATGAATAACTGTAATTGATATTATGATTGAATAAATGCAATTAATCTATATATGTAACTGTAATCGTATCTGGCCTTCATATATCTTCCAGTAATTTCAAGAAGTGGAAGGTACTAGAGAGTTCTCGGGGCCGGGAGGGGAAATGTATAAGACCGGAGAAAGCATAAGCTTCTCAGTAGATGTTGTTTAGCTTAGCGTAAGTTCCGAGTATTG